GAGTTCGTAGCAGTTTGCTAGAAGCATTTCCTGGGTTATGTATGGCTATGAACGCTACCGGATGAATGTATTCCGCAGTGAGTTCCCATCAGCGAAGATCTCACGCAAAATCTTCTTGTCCATCCTGTCTAGGCACTGAGGACGACATAACTCCATCAGAGTACGATGTTTTATTTTCCCCGTTAGCTCAGGTATACTGTAGGATGCAATAATTGGAGCTTATATATATGGTGTCAAAACGTTGCTGACATAAGGATACTGCTGATCTATTGGAGATGGAGCTGCTCACATAACCATATCTCGCTGTTCACAAAGTTCATAGTCAGTTGCACACTGCAGAATGATTGAAACGCGAGAATTTACATGGATCATTAAAGAATCGCACGTTTGAAATAGAACAAGAAAGAAAAAACAAACAAACAAATGGAGTAGCTATTAATATCCAGATTCATGGAGAAAGAAATCTATACTACTAGCAAGTTAGCACTTGAATTCAGCACAAAGTACACGCTTTGTCGGAGACGGTGACTGGGAGCGGATAGCAGGCACCGATTGCGATCGGATTGGGACAGTGACAAAAACCACAAATATTTCCACTCTTTAAAATCGCGTTATCCATCAACTGTTAAACCTGATTCTTTCAACATCTTGAGAAGTTGCAAACTTGCAATGATTTACTAATCGAGACGCCAATAACCTGACCCGCGGCGGCTGATTATTTCCCGTGCAACATGTTTTGATATAACAATGCTCTGTCTTTTCCGGTTAAAAACACAGGGTTAGGTGACGTAAACGCGTGCCCGGTTTTTCTCTCCTAAAGCATAAGCTCGATGTTGAGACGTGAGTTATGTATATTGGTAGTTTTACTGAAACGGGCTTTATTTTTACGCACCTCGAGTTTGATGGTTCGTGCAATCATAAGCGTGACATGTGTAAAATATCGGATGAACTCGGTCGACAAACGGGTGCTCTGGGTCAAAGATGTGAAGCGACCTGCCGATCGAGCGAGCGACCTCGCAACCGAACCAACCTGATGGTGCTCGGTCGATCCATCAACCGCGCACGTACGGGTGGGAGATCGTTCGATAGCTGCAGGAGCGCGCGGTGGGACCCAAAAATCCGAAGGAATTTAATTCTCTCGATCGCGTAGCACACGTGTGCGCCGCGCCCGGCTGGCCCGTTTGATCACGACCCGGCCGCTGCGGCGCGTCGTCGTCAGGCTTACCGGGCGAGCGAGCGAGCGATCTCACGATGGAAACGACGTACCAGGCGGCGACTCCCGACCCGACCAGCATGGCCCCTCCACGACGACGTCGGGGGTGCGGCTGGTCTAGCCGATTTCTACCGGCACACCAGACCTGTCGCGGGTACAAAACTTGGTTTGGCTTCTGGAGCTCTGGACCCTGGAGGGACACGTCGAGCACGTACAATGTCGGGGCCCAGCACGTACGCGAGTCGGTCTCTGGCTGGCCACACGCGGCCCCAGCGCCCGAGCCGGCGCGCCCAGCGGTGGCTCGCTCGGTGTTTTCACGCGATGGCCGCGCCGCACTCGGTGATCGCTACCCGCGCGGCGCGTTTTCTTCGAAATCCACCGGGCACGGCAAGCACGCACGGATCGCGCATTCGCGCGCCCCTCCGCCCACGCGCGCGGGTGGCGCCTGCCGACACAGTAGCACGCCGATGCTTGGGTACGGGCAGACACGTACAGATATCGTGTCACGCTCACGCGCGCCTCTCGCCTCGCTCTCACCTACTGCGCCGCGCGGGCCGTGTAGTAGGCCACGGTGTCTGCTCGGGAACACGCGCACCGGGCGCGTCCAGCAATAGGAGCGCAGGAGTGTTGGGTTATTGGTGAGCCGGGTGGGTATGGGCGTATGGCTTGCCGCTGCTGCCCCTGCCGTGCCAGGTCGCGCTTGACCGCTCACGGTTTCTGCTCTGCTCGTTGTGACAGTCATACAGTAGTAGTATATCTGAGCGTGAGCGTGTCAAACATTTGCTGTTTAATCATCTCTCGTGTTCACTTTTAACAGCATCGAACGGGAAGGGCCGGGAAAATATAGTACAGTCCTCCATTGTTAGGCCAGTCACAATGGCTAGTGTCATTGCACGGCTACCCAAAATATTATACCATCTTCTCTCAAATGAAATCTTTTATGAAACAATCCCCACAGTGGAGGGGTTTCACTTTGACGTTTCCAAGACTAAGCAAAGCATTTAATTGATACAAGTTGCTGGGATCATTTGTACCCAAAATCCGGCGCGGCGCGGGAGAATGCGGAGGTCGCACGGCGGAGGCGGACGCAAGAGATCCGGTGAATGAAACGAATCGGCCTCAACGGGGGTTTCACTCTGTTACCGAGGACTTGGAAACGACGCTGACGAGTTTCACCAGGATGAAACTCTTTCCTTCTCTCTCATCCCCATTTCATGCAAATAATCATTTTTTATTCAGTCTTACCCCTATTAAATGTGCATGACACACCAGTGAAACCCCCATTGTGACTGGCCTTATTGCTCAACCCTTACGTCGTTTACGCGTTAACTTCTGTCGTTTCTTGAGAGTGTTATGTCGCATCACTAGCACTATTTTCTTTTCATGCAAAGGTCGTCCCCAAATAATTCCGATAGAGACGGGAGAGATCTCTCGCCGCCGTGCAGTTTTGCCGACTGTTTTAGTTTTAGGCGCATCTGTGACTTCATTCGGCGGCGGAATTCCTCCGAGAAATTACGCGACGATATGGCAACGCAGCCTGCTGAAACGCAGCGGTTTTCTCCATTTCTTAATAGCACTGTAACCGCAATCACCACGAACTCTTCATGGCCTTGGTTACAACTTACAACAGAAACCTGCACGCCACGCCGCGCACAGGTTGCAACCGATCAGACACAGTTTCATGTGGGGTTGGATGCGTGGCAGCAGTGTGGCAACTGACCGACTGATCGATCGACTGACACAGTACGCGACACCAAGCCTGATGTCTACATGCACAGAGGACGAGAGCGAGAGATTTGGAATTGGGGGGAATAGATACCTTGCTTGCGGATGGCGAGCTCGGAAAAGCAAAGGAAACAATGGTTTTTGAATCTGGAAAGAAAGGGAGCAGGGGGGAGCAAAGACAGGGAGAGATGCTTCGGCTCTGCTATCCTTGTCTCTTCTTTGCAATCACATGCCTTTCGACCCCCCAAAAACATGCTTTTGAACGACCCCAAAAAATAATCCACACCGGTTGTGTACGTAGACTAGGAATCCGTATTGCCGTACTTTTACAGTAAAAACAAATTACAGTGCTGTACGATTACTACAGTGTTGCTGAGCAAGCTCCCTGAAATGGATAGGGCACACTTTCCTTTTCTCATGCTCTGTAATATCTGGTACTAGTTGAGATGGATAGTGCACACTTGACATATTGAAGAAAAAACTGAAATGATATATTTGCAAATGAAAAATAATCTATAAATAAAACATTTATATATGTGTTATTAATGATCTAAAAGTAAAGCTAAAAAAATAAAATACAATAAGAAAATCTAAAATTAACTTCAAATTTAAAGTTAAAAATTCATTTTTTTACTGATACATCTGATAGTGATGGCAAATGGAGTACTAGCATGAAATCTCGTACTAGTAGTATTGAGCATCAGCAGTATGGGGAAAAAACTTACTAGTGGAGTACTAGAATCTTGAGGCGGAACACTTTCACATTGGAATACTGGATAATTTTGTTGTTTATTTTGACGACCCCACGTTGGTGATAAACTGAACAGCGGCCTTTAGCGCCTTTTTTTCTCCTCACTTTTGTAAATTGTTTTCTAAATGTTTGGTTGTTTTAGCACAAGTAGCTATTTGGTTAAAAACAAATGAAAGGAATGGCTAGGAAAGAGAGTGATAACAGTGCCTATCTTTGGAGCACCGTCTTTGTCAACACAGTACCTTTTCGACCAGTTTTTTCGTCGTGTATTTTGAGCAGGTTGGGGAAAATAATACGACGAAGTAAAAAAAAAAAAGGAGGAAGAGGAGAGGGGCCCGGTCGATCGATTGGGTCAAGAAGAACATTACATGGGGCCCAATTGGAGTGAGCTTTCGGTTTTCTCATCTCTCCTTTATCACGAGGACCAAAATATTCCACGTGGCTCTGGTGTCGTCATGGCCACGCATGTATACCTGCCACGTTGGCCTCTTAACTAAGGTATACAGTACTCTATATAGCATCGTAAATAAAGATTACGAGGTGAGACTACCATACAGTGTGTACATACATGCAAAAGTTTGACCAAAGTATCGGCTCGGCTCGGTCGAGCAGCCGATTGACATTAGCCATCCCACACTGCACGCCAGATGCGGCGCATGCCATCTACTCCCCGCTCATCGTCAGTACATTATCTTTTTTTTAGATAATGACAGTCAGTACATTATCTGACGCATTATAACTTGAAAAATTTGCTCAATCGATCAACAATTCAACAAACCGTGCGATTTTTAACCGAGAGGCCCCGCCGCGGAACGAACGGACCACTCCACCGTTGAAATCGGCAGAATTTACTGCGCCGCTCTCCGTATTTTTCACCTGGGAAACGCGCGCGCGCCGGCGCTGCTCCAGCTAGCACCCAGCAGCCATAAACTTGGACCACCGCCCGGCACGCAGCCGCGGCCGGCCGGTCGGTCGGCCAGCCAGCCAGCCAGCCAAAGCATCGGTCACGCACGCGTATACTACTCCCTACCTCGCGCGCGGTTGCAACACCAGTCACACCACTCACCACCACTGGATGCATACGTAGGCCAACGGCCGGCCGGCCGCCTCGGGGTGCGAGAGCCGCGCGAGCCAGCCGCGCGCGTGGGCCTCACACCCGTCTCGCGGACTGGGAAGCCGACGAGCTAAGCTACGTCGCGCGCGCGCGTTAGCTAGGCAGGGGCCGTGGCCGATCAGCCTCAACCGCGCCGCGTCCCCACGCAGATTTCTTCGTCTTCTCATACGGTGGGGGATGCGTATGCCCGACAGTGTGGGCCAGCCCAGCTGCCGTGACACCACCACCAGCAGTCGATATGTATAGGCCAAGCGCCCGGCACGCTGCGAGGACGGACGAGCAGTGAACTGGTGGTCTCTCTCTCCATCTCTCTCTTCCGCCTTTGGCCATGCAGCTTTCCCTCCCCTTCTTATTCACATCTCCCTCGTTCACATCTCCCACCACCACCACCGAGTCGATCACCAACAACCCCCACACCACATCGACTGATTAGCTAGTTAGCTCCTCTTCTCTTCCCCTCCTACCTCCACTCCTACTCCATTATCCAGCAGTTCGATCGATCCATGGCTATCTAGCTTCTGATCTTGATCCCTTTCTTCTTCTCATCGTCCTTGTTTGTTCTTATTCCTAGCTACTTAGCTAGATCTATCGATCAGTTCAGACCTCTTAATTCCTGTCCTGATCAATCACGTTCTGTCTGTATCCTTTGATTCGTCGACAATCCTAGTACTTCATGGAGCAGTGTTAGTTAGCTAGCAAAAGTAGTACTTTCATCAGGAGTGTCTATCGGCAAATAGCTAGGTTTTCTGGCTTAACACGTACTTTCATTAATTTGGAAGAACAGCAAGACAAAGAAACTGATTAAGATCAGCGAGTAATCGATGATGGCAGGAGCTCCCCCGATGCATATCTGCATGGACTCCGACTGGCTCAAGGTACGCATGCATATATACCACGATGATCTCGCAAACACTTAATTTTGCATCTGATGCAATCTCGCGTGCATGTGCTAGAATAGCTAGCTGCAAAATTCTTGTGCATATGTATTTATTGGCTGCCTCTCCATGTCCTTAAAAAGAAAGGTTTAATTGCATTTGCTTTCTGATCTTGTTAGGATTTTTACTTGCTCGGATGCGTTGGTATGTTGCTGGTTAATTTGCAACGACGTAAATCCATATCCATGACCATGCATGCCTATAGCTATTCCGTAGGAGAAAAACTTTTAATTAATTGATCAAATGCTACTGTGTTAGATCGATGCGCAGAACAGGAATTAAGAAAAAAAAAGGAACCGATCAAGATTTAGATCTGCAGCGCTAACTCCTAGCTCATTTGATACAGATGATTAACTAGGCTGATCTTTAAGCATACCCCAATATTCCATTTGAATTTTGATAAATCGATCATAATACAAAACTTGTGAAAAATTAACAGATTTCTGGTGTTATTTTCTGTATATATGAAGGGCACGGTATATGGAATTAAACATCTTGTAAAAAATGGCTGTTTCGATCAGGGTAGCTAACTTTGTTCATTCGTTCCACACGTGTTGTTTGACTGTTTTATATCCGTTGTTTTAACGAATTATATTTACTCGACGGCCTTGTTTTGTGTTTCCATTCCTTTTCTTTTGTTCCACAAAGATGATACAACCAATCTGGCATCTTTTCCCTTGAGTTAAAACTTAAAACACTGTTGGCTGTCAATTCAATTTTGTTGCTTAATTTAATTTGGAACACTTCATGATCAATCTATGTAATATGCAAATAATACTCTTGAATATAAATGCGTCCATAGATACATCCATAACAAATCTATTGCATGCATAAAACTCCAGATGAAAAAAAAACTAGCAAAATAATAGTGGAAAATCTAGAGTATATGTGCCAACTGACATTGATATCCATTTCGAGAAACTGTGGAAAGTGTCTGACCTGAAAGATTCTGGCACTCTGCAAGCAAAAGCAACAACATTGGCTAAAAGAGATTCAAACAAGTACGGTTTGATCATATATGATCTGTTAAATTTTACTTTAACTTTAGAACATGGCTAAGCTAGCTTCATGCATGACTGCATCGATCTATTCAACAGCTATAAATCCGAGGAACAAACTAAACAGAAATAATAAGGTAGCATGCGCGAATGTACAAGAAGAGATCTATGTTAATCACTATTTATTATAAACAGAGATTTAACTTTACCGTGCAAGGTCTATTAGTACTGTACATAAGCACTGTTGCTGAAGAACTAATTTAATTAAGCTCAAACGCATGCATGCTACTGTTGTTGGGAGTATCTCACCATGCATCAAGTGTACATGTATAAACCATATCAAATTCATGGAACATGATTAAGAGATCAAGACAAGTACATTTGGGCCCTATCATCAATGCAAAAATAACATATATTTGTTGTAACTTTAGCACGTGATGTAAAGAAGAACAGCAGGTAGCTAAAACTACTAGCTGAGCAACAGACCCAAGTGAGATCGATGCGAGTGCAAAAGTACGGTCTCTGCCCTAGGATCGAGCCCAGATCTAAGCTTTAATCCAAACTTGATGCCTCCATCATAAGCTATATCCATCTTTGCAGTTTGTACTTTGTGCTGGTCTTGTAGCTCACAGAGTGAGAAACCCTAGACATCATCCACCACCATGCATTCATGCATGGGACCAGCCCACGACGACGACGAAACCCTTTCGCGCATTCCGAGGCTTCCATTCTCTCTGTCAGACTTTGTCACCGCTGATGATTACCGATCACGTTCTCTGATGGATAGGTGACATGGTGTGGTGTGCTTGTTTTGCTTTGCTTTCAGGGCATCGTCCCCGAGGAGCACGGGATGGGGTCGTCGTCGCCGTCGGCGGAGCTGATCGCGTGCCCGCGGGCGCCGATGCAGGCGGCGGCGGCGGCGGCCGACCGCCGGCTTCGCCCCCAGCACGACCAGCCGCTCAAGTGCCCGCGGTGCGAGTCGACGCACACCAAGTTCTGCTACTACAATAACTACAGCCTCTCGCAGCCGCGCTACTTCTGCAAGACGTGCCGCCGCTACTGGACCAAGGGCGGCTCGCTCCGGAACGTCCCCGTCGGCGGCGGCTGCCGCAAGAACAAGCGCGCGCCGCCCAAGAAGGCCGCCGCCCACGCCCAGCCCGCGGTGGCGGTGGCGGCGGCGCTGCAAGGCCGCCACATGGAGACCGGACTCCACCTGTCCTTCTCCGGGATGCAGCATCATCTTGCGCCGCCGCCGCCGGCGGCGGCCACCGCGGCCGACCCGCTCTGCAGCCTTGGACTATTTGACTGGAAGCAGTACGACCCCGTCTTCGCCGGCTCCGGTGGCGGCGGCTCCCCCGTGGCGGCGCTGGAGAGCGCTGGTGGCTCGGAGGCGCAGTTCATGGGTGCTGGCATGATGGGCATTGGCGGCGGCGGCGTCGCGGAGTACCATGCGCTGAGCGCGCTCCGGTTCGCGGCAGGGCTCGGCGATCACCTGGCGCTGCCGTTCGGCGCGGTGCGGGCGGAGCACGACGCCGTCGAGGTGAAGCCGGTGGCGGCGGAGAGGCTGCTGTCGCTCGAGTGGTGCGGCGAGGCGAGCCGCACGGCGGCGCCGGAGAGCTCCATTAGCTCGCTGGGCGGGCTGGGACTGTGGAGCGGCATGATCGGCGGCGGGCACCATCACCATGGCTCCTCCGCTGCCATCTGAGGCGAAGCAAGCTAGCATGCATGCAATGCGAAGGACACGTGATCGAACGCCGCGAGCCGCTGCAATCTGTGCAAGAAGGAAAGGATTAGCGGTTTGCTAATAGCATTAACAAAGTATGACTACGTAGAATTGTTTGGCTTTAATTTCTTTGCTGCTGTTTTCCATCTTCTCATGCATGGTAATCTCCTACTTATTTTCGTCGTTTTGTCTTTGTATTTCCCAACTATTCCAAGTCCTGGTGATGTTCTGCTGTTGTTCCAGCTCATGCATATTGTCGTGCATGGTTCTGTTAAACACGATGCTGGCTTGCTAGAGATTATAAGTTTGTTCTACACATGTGGTCATATTCATAAATGTTTTATCTAGGTTGAGTAGGAAATTAAGGGGAAAAAGATCACGCATGGCAGAAGAAAGAACTATGTAGTATCTGGCATAGGCATAGACAAATGGTTCAATGCGAGATTATTTTTTTCTCTTAGCAAATGTTTTCTAGCTAGCCTCAACGCTAGCTTTACAGTAACAGTAGCAAAAAGGACTGTTCTACCAGATTGACACGATGCAACATGCTGATGAACTCTGCTACCATATAACTAAAAAGTCAGGTGTTCTATCTTGAGGGGATGTCCCTCGTTTTTTTGGAGGGGATGTCCCTCGTTTTTTTCTCATGTCACCTAAATATTTGTTAATATAAAATATATCACTTCAAAAACATACAAGTTCGAATTTAATTTCTACAAATTATAACAAATATAACTATGACTATACACTATAACTTTTTTCAGTTTAGTTTGTTTCTTTTGTTGTAACTTATAGAAGTCAAATTTGGGTTTGCATATTTTTAAGGTGATACAATTCATATTAATCTATATTGTGAAAAAAAGGTATATTTTTTTTTTGACTATTTAGGTGACATGCAAGAAACGAGATTACATTCCCTAGAAATTGATTTATAAGTCAGTAGTTCAGTACTCCCTTGCCAACGCAAAAAATGACTCTCGTGAAGACCAGCTATATTACATCATGAGAAAATTATGCAAAATACGGTAGTTCCTTGAAACATCAGAGAACTGAACACAGCATATATGGGCAGACAAGAAAGATGACTAGAGAGGCCCACTATTCTGGTTACTTGGTCGGTCGGTGGTCGAAGACTTACCTTGAATACTGCAGAAGCACAAAAGTCCCCTTGCCCTGTGGATTTCCGTGGCTTTTGCTTCAGTTCATAAGTTTTCATACCGAAAATATTTTGCTTTTAGTCTGGAGTACCTGCAAATTATATATTGTAGCATGTAAATTGAAGCGATCAATATCTGAAGCACCTCATATATATGGTGGTATGGGTCAATATGTACAACCGTACAGGTACAGGGATACAGGCCTACGGCGCTTACCAGATAGTTGAACCATAGTATATACACACATATCAAAATGGCGATCCTAAACTTCTTGCCGTGTGTTTTGTAGGTTGGATTCAAGGGGCAGCAGTTTTTTGGCGGCATATATATGCACAACAATATGCTGGTTGGTCTCTGATGTATGATAAAGTGTCACTTGGGATAGTTCAAGGCATACTGAAATCTTTTAACTCAATAGGACAAAAAAGACATCCTGAAGCCTGAAAATATACGTAGAGAAAAATCAGTTAAAATAACATCTATGAAATTCAAGCTTTATACGATACAGAGCATTGCATGAACAATGCCAACCAGATATACGTAGAGAAAAATCAGTTAAAATAACATCTATGAAATTCAAGCTTTATACGATACAGAGCATTGCGTGAACAATGCCAACCAGATGACATTACTAAAGCTCCAAAAGACAACGACGTATTTCGCTTGAGTTGGCAATATTTGCTATAGGATAATATAGTGCTGATGGATTACACAATGACTAAAAGGTTATGGGATGATCTATAGAAAAGTTGGTATTATTGCATCATGTTATTCTTTTTTAGGAAAAGCATCATATATTTCTTGACTGCACTTATCAGATGTGCAAATAATGCAACGCCAGGGATGTAGACTGATGTCAGTACCTATTAATTGCAACCTGCTGATCAAATACATGAAAAATTCAAGAGAACCACTATTTTGCAACTGTACTAGGGCATGTGGCATTTCCCTACACGAAAAAAAAATCAATCAGATTTTCACTAGAAGGGCAATATCAACTGCTTAATTTGCATACGCAGGTGCTGAGAACAAAATAGTACTAATAACAGTGCTAAATTTGCCTGCGATTGGCTACTGGCAAGCTAGACAACTCTGCCATATCGGCTCTTGCAGTTGCAGCTCACCAGCCCGCAAAGGAGATTAACGGTGACAGTCTGATGCGCTCCGCATTTGGCATGACACCGTAAATATATTTGAGACCTCAAACTTGAGGCATATGCTTTGAAACAACGCAACCTCCTTCCTGGAGGATGACAGAGTTGCTGCATGCTGATAGCCTTGCTGGAAATTTCAAGGCAGCAGCTACGTGCCCAAAGCCATCAATCCCATAATCATGTCATGTCCCTGCACTTTGGCGTACGTATGCACGAGGGGAGTCGGGCGGCCGGAGCGCAGGCACGAACTGGCGGCGCGGCTGTGGGAGATGAGGGGAGCATGGCGCACGTGCTGAGCAGCGCGCAGGGGCAGGCGTCTCGGCCCGCGCAGAAAAGCGCATTGGGGAGAGCCACGGGGGTAAGGTTACCACACGACGACGCGGACGGCTAGGCGGTGGGAGGGGTGGAGGCGGCACGAGCGGAGGAGGCAGGACACGGAGATTGGACAGCGCGGGCGAGAGCAGTGGAGGCTTCTGTGGCGGTTTCTAGAATCTTCTGGAGCGGCCGGCGATCTTGCCCTCGACTGCGAGCCGCGTCGAGCGATCCGGCGAACCGCGATTGGGCCGTCCTGGCATCCGTGTTATGGGCCGTCATCTTCCTAAGAGATTCGGCACAGCCCAGAGTACCAAAGCCATTTATAACCTTGCTCCTTCCTGTTAAAAAAAAGGTTTGGCTTTTGAGATAAAAATTGGCCAAAACTTTAAAAATCCGATCATCTAATTAGAAGTACACACATGGATAATCAATTACATCGATATTTTATCTTTTTTTTGTGTGTATGATTGTATATCTCAATTATTTGTATGGATTAAAATTTTGAAACTACTCATTCATACTCCACCCTTTTTCATGTTTTAAGAAGCTTATTATAAAGAGATCTAGCAACTCCTAGTTTTATTAAACCTAACACTAGATATATTTTGATAATATGTTTATTTGGTATAAATAATGTTGCTATGTTTTCTTTTTCAAAATATGGTTGAAAAAATGAAAGCGTCTTATAATAATATGAAATGGAGAGAGCCGATAAACGTTCGAAAAGAGATAAGAGAGAATAATTCCACCTCACAATATGTGTGGAATCATTCTGGCGGTCAATGAGGATCCAACCGAGCATCTCCTCGATGCAATACCTTTGCAACCTACGACCACCAAGTTGGCTCCCAGTCAAGTACTTTCAGATTTTCTACCTTCTATACTTCTAGGGGTTGTGGAATCATCGGTATGATATCGTGTTCCGCAATCAGCCATAAAATGTAACTAGGCTACTCTCCAAGTGTGTCCAAACCGTAACTCTTTGGGCCAATCACCTCAAATGTGATGTTAGGATAGTAGAATCCTGAAATAAAAAAAAATTCTCTCCTTGCTTCGCTCTAATGTAAACCGATGGTTTTTTTTACCTTTAACACTTTATTTTTGAAAATTCGGGTGGGTAAGCTGGTGACTAGTATAAAAGACAATATGCATGAAATAAATCTCTCTAATCTCTCATCTTGAGAATAAACGAATAAACCAAACGTTGTGGTTCAATTTGATGCTGGATCTGTGCATTCCTGTTACACGCTTTATTAATTATTATATAAAAAAGTAAATGTTTTTAGAGCTTTTTATTGGGAAAAAAATTCAACCAACCGTTATCTCCAATCCAAACAAGTTTTACTTCAATCTTCTTCTTGCTTCTTCCACGCCCCAACACAGAAAATATAACAAATAAAAAATAAAAATAAAAACTCTTCCTTCCACATATTCTTCATCCACAAAAACAAAATCCCAAACTAAAATACTCCAAGAAATCCCGCCCTCCACACCACACGAGATCGCTCGCGAGGGGATAGCAACAAACTACTAGACTGGGCCCCGCAGGCAGGCAGGCAGGGGAACGCAAGGCATATCGTCGTCAATTCGTCATCTTCCCCAATCCAACCCAACCCCCCCTGAACTGCACGGCTCGCAATCGCAAGCCGAAAAGAGGTCAGCGAGCTGCGTATCAGCGTATGGCCCGCATCTGAGGGGAGAGGAGGAGGAGGAGGAGGAGGAGGAGGGATGGGGCGGGCGTTCGTGCACGTGATCCTCGGCGGCGGCGTGGCCGCCGGCTACGCGGCGCTCGAGTTCGCCCGCCGCGGCGGCTACTCCCGCGGCGAGCTCTGCATCATCTCCGAAGAGACGGTATATTACGACGCCTCCTTTTGCTGCTGCTTCCCCTGAGTCTAATACCTCTCCCTCGAAAAAAAAGAGAAAAAACTTGTGTTTTGACCGCCTGAGTAGATACTAGTAGTAGAACTGTTGCTTCTAGCAATGTTTCGGATTGCTTGGTCCGTTTTTGTTTAGTTGGATATGCTAGGAAAGAGTTGCTTGGGTTGCCGCTCGAGTTGTGCAAATAAAAAAAAAGTTATCTTTTTACGAGGAGAGGAAACGATTTCACATTTTATCATTCTGGCCTTCAGATTCACAGTGAATGAACAATAGATATAAAGATCATCAATCCTTGCTTGGATATGAACTAAAGAATGCGTGAATACTGCAAAAATAACTGAAAGGAAGTTTCGTCCCTGAAGATGTGTGTCAGCTGAATTTTGGGACACAGACCAAGGGAACAAAAGAATGTTTATGTTCATGTGGACCTATTTTTAGAGAATAGGGATGTGATTCTTTTCTTGCAAAACATAATTCAGAATTATTGCTCAGCTGAATGCTCTATGATTCTGCTGTGGATGCATGCACATGTGGTGATATTTTCTTTTTGTATGCTTGCCAGGTTGCTCCTTATGAACGTCCGGCACTAAGCAAAGGCTATTTACTCCCAGAAGGTGCATCCACACACTTCTTATAGCTGAGCATTCCGCTGGAACACCATGTGTGTAGTCTGAAATTCTGCATAATTATATAAGCAGAATAGTCCAATGATATATGCTACATGTTCTGTTGGAACTATGGATTATTTGTCTTCCATGGTTCTATCCATCTTCAAAACCACAGCAGGGAAACACACATGTCCTGTTTGCTCTATATGTTTTTGGTTTACCCATATAGGACCACTATCTTCAACAGTCTGTTCACTTTTCCCTTTTCTTAACAGACCTATGTGAACTCTGAGAAAAGTGTACCATAGAAGCCTATTTGAGGTTTACAATGCAAGGTTGCATGATAAAAATAAATTGAACTGGCAGAATTGAGTGTCAAAAAATAGACAATATGATCTTTGCTTCAATTTACAGTTGGTAAGTACTTCTAGCAGATGAAAAAATAGTTGACAGATGTCTCTAAATAGAGAAAATTCCTTGTATACCCATGAAAAAATAACCTTGTTTTCATTTCCAAAATATCTTAGCATGTATTGATTCTTCATGCTACTGGTTCAACTATGCTTGAACGCTTCTGCTTACCAAGGTGTCTACAGATATCCCATGTGTGATGCTCAGATTGTTAATCTTGCTAACTGTTATTAATCCCTGTGCTATTTACAGGTGCCGCTCGTCTTCCAGGATTTCATACCTGCGTTGGTGCCAATGATGAATTACTGACGGCAAAATGGTACAAAGAAAATGGTAGGTTTTTTAAAAAGATTTTTTTTTACTGGTTTACCTTTCATCTTATGTAGTATTAGTTACTGCTGAATGATACAGTTTGGTTTCCATGTAAACATCGAACCTGTTAAAGGTCTGGGCCGTCTTGGTTTGAGGAGCAACTTACTAAATGAACTATCTATATGATCTTTTATCTGTTCTTTTATCAAGTTATGAAGATAATTTTACATCTGCTTGCTTCATGTCTTTAGTGTGCATATACGTATTCTACCTACTAATTGTGAACTTGACTAGGTATTGAACTTGTTCTTGGAACAAAAGTGATAACCGCTGATGTAAGGATGAAGACATTGCTTACAGCCACTGGAGAAACTATCAGCTATAAGAATCTTATCATTGCGACCGGTGCTCGGGTATTGAATCTATTTACACTTATTTTAGCCCATCTTGTCTTGCTTTCAATCACTGTGAACAAAAATCTAGCATGTTGTATTTGATTCATTTTGCCTGCTTATATTGTATTTCTGTACATACGTAGGCTTTGAAGCTGGAAGAGTTTGGAATCAGTGGATCAGATGCTTCGAACATATGTTATTTGCGCAATCTTGATGATGCGGATAAGTTAGTGAATGTGATGAAATCATGTCCTGGTGGAAATGCTGTCGTCATTGGTGGTGGCTATATAGGAATGGAGTGCGCAGCAGCATTGGTTACTAATAGGATAAAAGTAACCATGGTCTTCCCTGAAAGCCACTGCAGTAAGTAGTAGATGCTATATCACTTAAAACTGTCTGAACTCTGAACTAGTATTTGTGTTATCCAGAATCCCCGAGATATGATGTAAAGATTTCTCATAGTCATTTAAATCTGATCATGGCATGTTTTCTGCAGTGGCCCGTCTATTTACACCAAAAATTGCAGAATATTATGAGAACTATTACACTTCAAAAGGTGTTACCTTTGTCAAAGGAACTGTGCTTACATCCTTTGAAAAAGATTCGACAGGGAAGGTGAGTTTCTGTCCCAACACAAGTTTGGACTCCTTGCAGTATAACAAGTACTTTGTATAACAAGTACTCCCTCTGATTTCCAAATGCAAATCGTTATATAACTTTGAGGTGCTTATCCAACTTTTTTATTGTATTTATTGTTGCTTAGGCCTCAGTATTGACTTAGATTTGGCTGGAACTGTTCTATATGTGATGGGTATAGTTAGGCTAGGTTTTCGTATCTTGCCTTTGATTGGAGGCAAGGTAATCCTGAGAAAATTTGTTTGATTTTTCAATGACATGATGTGACAGCGATGAGTATGACGAGCTTAGCTTCAAAAAATACCCATTGTTTCCTTTTGGTATTGAGTTGAATGTGTCCAAATTAAAATCAACGCCAACCTCTTTTGGCTCTAACTCTGAAGTTTTCTTTGGATATTTAAGGAGGCATCGGGAGGTACCACACTCTTTTGTCTTAATTTTCAGGACTTCCTAGTCCTAGTGCCTCAACACAACACCCTCTCCTCAAGGATTGTAAAAAAATGCTCATTTTTTAAGTCTAAATCTGTTTGATGAAATTGAATCGTCTACTGATATAAAAGACTTAAAGCTACAATGACAGTTGAAATAAGAATGTTACTGTGTATACACAGGTGACTTCAGTAATCCTGAAAGATGGTAAACACCTTCCTGCCGATATGGTTGTGGTTGGTATTGGCATCCGTGCAAGCACTGGTCTTTTTGAAGGTCAGCTGTTGATGGAGCAAGGTGGGATAAAGGTAAACGGACAAATGTTAACAAGCGATGGTTCTGTATATGCCGTTGGCGATGTTGCTGCCTTCCCTATCAAGCTCTTTGATGGTGTTATACGACGGCTTGAGCATGTTGACTCAGCTCGCAGAACAGCGAGACATGCTGTTGCAGCCATCCTGGAGCCTTCAAAAACTAAGGACATCGATTACCTGCCATTCTTCTACTCCAGGGTCTTCACATTATCCTGGCAATTCTATGGGAACAATACCGGAGAAGTGGTTCACTTTGGAGACTTCACAAACAGCAGCCCAAGGTTTGGTGCCTATTGGGTTGATAAAAGCCGGATTAGGGGTGCATTTCTTGAAGGTGGAAGTCGAGAAGAATACGAGGCGATATCGAATGTTGTTCGGCGTAAAGCTAAGGTTATAAACATTGCTGAACTTGAAAAGCAAGGTCTGATGTTTGCCATTCAAGAAAGCCAGAAGGACTTGCCTGATGGTGGGCTTGCTCTTGGTGAAAAGCCTACATATGTATGGCATGCAACGGCTGGTGTCATTGCAGCTGCGTCCATTGCTGCATTTGGTTATTGGTACGGCAGGAAACGCCGTAGGTGGTGAAAAATCTGGGAGCGACTCATTCCTTTTGCAAATTCATCGTCTCCTGTGCCTACATAACTGATGGACTAAAGTTACTCAGAGAAAAGTCCTGTATAACCTGTATCAGAGAAAAAAATCATGTACAATCTGTATGAAAGTATCATCTTTGTACCAAATGTAAACAAATACACAGATCCCATAATATATATTGTTTAATGAAATGGTATGCTGTTATGAAATCTGGAGGACCTCTTCTTTTTCCTACTGCCTGTTGGCCTCTCTACCTTTTTCAGTCAAAAAAAAAATGAAATTGAGTTTATGACAATTATTCGAGAGAGAGAAAAAAATGAATGGATTAAATATTAGAAAGTTGACAATATTTCAAAAGGTTCTATAAGAAAAGTTGAAGAAAGCTTTGACAAAAATCCCACCGTTTAGAACTTGGAAAGCTTGCTACCACCCACGGTAATCTGGTGGCCATAATCAGAAAAGAACGAGCAAGTGTTTGCTACGTATTATTTTCTGGATCATCTAAGTTTACTAAACCTTCAGGGTTCATGCAAATCAATTCTTAGCATCTCTAATCAACAGGTCTCTGAGTTCAAGCAGATGCTCCTGTCAGCAGCAGCCAGAAAAAAAAATTACAAGAGAGTATTGCAACTTGCAGGAGGAGACCAACTATGGCGATCTTTACCTTCAGGTCTGAGTTCAAGCAGATGCTCCTGTCAGCAGCAGCCAGAACAAAATTTAAGAGAGAATTGCAATTTGCAAGAGCATCGAGACCAAAATGGCGATCTTTACCTTGATCGAGAAGGATTCCCTTCTCCCTCGAATCAAATGCGCCGGCCCATCCATGCGCAGTCATTTCTTGATGGCGAGGGAAAGAAGATAACATGGCATCGCCATGGACGACCGGGCCCCGCTGAGTGAACAGCGGAGGCGAGCAAGGCATCGTTCCCGCTGCCGCCATTTTCTCCTCCGCGCAAGCCAAGAACCGGATCGGCGGGGGCCACCATGGCACGATCTGGTCGGATACTTAAGCCCATCAATGGAGGAGGAGAGCCGCCGCCGGCAGCGAGGGAAGCAGAGGCAGGTAGAGACGGTGATCACCGGTTCATCGGATGGGCCGCGCGTTCGAGTACGTGATCCTGGGCGGCGGCGTGGCCGCCGGCTACGCGGCGCTCGAGTTCGTCCGCCGCAACGGCGGCGCATCCAGCCAGGAGCTCTGCATCATCTCCGACGAGCACGTACGTTTTCTTCTCCTGATTTGCATACTACTCCGTATGATTTAATTTATTGTACAGCAAAATCCTAATCAAAATCATGTTCCACTTTTCTTTCTTTCCCCCCCTCTACTATTAACAGTTTGCTCCTTATGAGCGTCCTGCATTAAGCAAAGGCTATTTGCTCCCACAAGGTACCGACATTTTCATGATCTTTGAATGTGCAATTCTGCATGTCGTTTGTCATTTATTTGCTTCAAACTGTTTATAATTTTACTCCTTTTATCCTCAGACGCGCCGCGTCTACCGGCATTTCATACTTGCGTTGGTTCTAAGGATGAGTTACTTACCGAAGAATGGTACAACGAACACGGTAGGCTCCTCTGAATGTTTGATGCTGCATTGTTTAGTTCAGAATGTCGTTTCTGTCTAGATTTACATTTTACATTGAGCCATATCATTTGATACTATCAAACCGATCAGACTAAGTCGAGCGACCGACTGAGAATATAGATGGATCGGTAAATGTGATATTTTTGCCTCTTCTTTGATCTAGCAATCAAGTCAATCGTATTCACTAGTTTATGTTCAGCACTGATAATCCTGTCTATGATCTTTCACTTGACTAGGCATTGTACTTGTTCTTGGAACGAGGGTGATTTCTGCTGATGTGCGGCAGAAGACATTGCTTACATCCAGTGGGGAAACCATCAGCTATAAAACTCTTATCGTTGCCACGGGTGCTCGGGTATGCACCCAAAAAAAAAAACATAAAAAAAAAATCTGGTTCATCCTGTCCATCTTCAGTTCTGATTTCTGAACGAACTTATCATTCTTGGATTCTCCAGTATCTTGAGTTTTACTGGAACACTCAATCTAATAGATATATTTCTTGACAAATTTGATCTGGTTCTCTGTTGACGTAGGCCGTGAAGCTGGAAGAATTTGGAGTGAGCGGTTCAGATGCGAGGAACGTCTGCTATCTGCGCAATGTGGAGGATGCAGACAAATTAGTCGGTGTAATGAGATCATGTCCCGGTGGAAATGCCGTTGTCGTCGGTGGTGGATACATAGGAATGGAATGTGCAGCGGCATTGGTCACAAACAACATAAAAGTTACCATGGTCTTCCCTAAAAAACACTGCAGTAAGTATCTGATTGAATTCGGTATACATTTTATTTTTGTGGGGATCTCGATATGAATATAAATGATGTGTGTTTTGTGTTCTGAATGCAGTGGGTCGTCTTTTTACACCGAAAATTGCTGAGTTTTATGAGAGCTATTACGCTTCAAGAGGAGTTACTTTCGTCAAAGAAGCTGCGGTTACTTCCATGCAGATATCAGCTGGAAAGGTTTGTATCCGTTTCATATAAGTTTGTTTGAAATTCAGAATGCTACTACCAGTATTGAACTGAACATGTATGAGTGATTTTGAACAGGTGACTGCAGTGAACTTGGGAAACGGTAGGCGGCTTCCTGCCGACATGGTCGTCGTCGGCGTCGGCGCCCGCGCGAACACCGGGCTGTTCGACGGCCAGCTGGTCATGGAGAACGGCGGGATCAAGGTGAACGGACGGATGCAGGCGAGCGACGCCTCGGTGTACGCCGTGGGCGACGTGGCCGCGTTCCCCGTCAAGCTGTTCGGCGGCGACGTCCGCCGGCTGGAGCACGTCGACTGCGCGCGCCGGACCGCGCGGCACGCCGTCGCGGCGATGCTGGAGGGCACCGGATCGGTGGGGCACATCGACTACCTGCCATTCTTCTACTCCAGGGTCTTCTCGCTGTCGTGGCAGTTCTACGGCGACAACGCCGGGGAAGCCGTGCACTTCGGGGACCTCGCGCCGCCCGGCGACGGCGACGGCGCCGCCCCCAAGTTCGGCGCGTACTGGGTCCGCGACGGCCGCGTCGCCGGCGCGTTCCTCGAGGGCGGGAGCCGGCAGGAGTACGAGGCCGTGGCGGCCGCCGTCCGCCGCGGGGCCGCGGTGGCCGACGTCGCGGAGCTCGAGAGGCGAGGCCTCGCGTTCGCCACCCAGGCCACCGGCGGCGGTGGCAAGCCCACCTGCGCATGGCACGCCACGGTGGGCGTCGCCGCGGCCGTGTCCATCGCCGCCTTCGCCTGCTGGTACGGCTGGCAGGCGCCGTACGTGCTCAAGCGAGACTTCTGAAAAATCTGTACCACCTAAACAATTTCCTCCCATGTACTATCAACCATGAAACGCTGAAACTTGTTCAAACCCAACGCAAAATCTGTCCAAATCAATCCACGCATCGATTGTACTATTGTTCAGTGTAAAAGATGATTGTTTCGTTGTACTTTCTGCTCCCAGTTGAGGATTTGCCATGGTCGTACTACGTGCGATGCGTGTGAAACCGCGAAAGAATGGACTTTTGTCGTGCAGCCGGCCGGGGTCAGGGTATGCTGGTCGGTTAGTTGCACCAATCCAAGCTACCGCGACTTATTCCGGTAGATCGCTGAACCCGCCTGCTGCTCCCGCGCAATCCTCTCTCGCTGCCGGTGGGGCCCTCCGCCACCCAAACCCCACCTGCCCGTCTCCATCGCCGGCCGTTACACCTCCTGTAGCTAGCTGTAGGCACCTCAGCTTCCGGTGACCCTTGCTCCTCTATTAATACAAGCCCAGCTCGAAGTCTTGGAGCAGCTGCATGCACAAGTGCAAGTGAGAGTGACAAAAAAGTGCAGTAGTGTGCTGTCTGCTGTGCAATCGAGCGAGAGGCAAACGATGGTGAACTTCGTGGAGGCGCAGAAGCCGCTGCTGAAGCGGCTGATGAGGATGGCGGGGCTCCGGCCGGTGGACGTCGAGATCGAGCCGGGCACCACCATGCACATCTGGGTGCCCAAGCACCATGTCAGCAAGAAGACCGGCACGATCAGGCCGGTCGTCGAGCACGGCGGCGTCGATGGCGACGGCGAGAAGGCCGGGGCGGCGAAGAGGAAGAAGAGCGCCGCCGAGTCGAGGCCCAACGTGGTGCTCGTCCACGGCTTCGCCGCCGAGGGAATCGTCACGTGGCAGTTCAACTTCGGCGTGCTCGTGTCGCGGTACAACCTCTACATCCCCGACCTGCTCTTCTTCGGCAAGTCGGCCACGGCCAGCGCCGACCGGTCGCCGGAGCTCCAGGCGCGGTGCGTGGCGGCGGCGCTCGCGCGGCTCGGCGTGGCGCGGTGCGACGTGGTCGGGTTCAGCTACGGCGGCATGGTGGCGTTCAAGCTGGCGGAGACGCGGCCCGACCTGGTGCGGTCGCTGGCCGTGTCCGGGTCGGTGGTGGCCATGACGGACGCGGTGAACAGCGCCACCATGACACGCCTCGGCGCCACCTCGTCCGCCGAGCTGCTCATGCCGGAGACGCTCAAGGGCCTCAAGCAGCTGCTTTCCATCTCCATGTACAAGAAGATGTGGTTCCCGGACAGGTTCTACAAGGACTATCTCAAGGTAAATTTAAGCATGCCCCTGCTATCATTTGCCATATTTCTAATTTACTTGCTTGATAGAAAAAAAATCTTATCTTAAAATTGTATTCATCCCTTTTTCCATCCCTTCCAAAATATAATGATTTCTGGGAGTTTTAGCATGAACTAATTAAGATTGGCAGAGAAATGGTTACACTCGATTAAGATGACTAAGTATATGCAGAAATTAAACTAGAGATGTTATTATTGGTTGAGATAAGAAAGTGAGTGTACAAAATATTTATATTATGTTATAAATTTTGAATTTTAAAAGTATTTTAGAACGGATGGAGCCTGGATGGAGCAGTACAGTGGAGTACTCATGATTGGACTAGTGTTCAGGTGTTAGTTTGTGTATGTTTTAAATTTGGTTGGTTAATAACATGTTTTTTTTTTTGGCTTGGTTTGGTGATGAGTAGGCGATGTTCAACAACAGGAAGGAGAGGATGGAGCTGCTTCAAGGCCTCATAACCAGCAACATGGATGCCAAGATCCCTACTTTCCAGCAGGTACAGAAAATAACCTTTGTTAAATCAAACAACCCACATCTACTCATTTTTTGTTCACCAACCTTGTGATACACTAATAGCAGTAGATACGAAATTAGCACACCTGAATCTAAAACAATTGACTAGTAAGAGTTGACTGACAAATGCAAACATCTATTCACCAAACCTTTGATATCTACTGGTCATGGTAGATATGCGGATATGAAACTGGCACGCCTGAACCTAAAACTGTTGACTAGTGAGACTGTGAGAGTAGACCATCAGAAATGCAAATATAGATGACAACATCATCACATCTTAGGGCCCAAAAATGAGTTCAACCTAAGTTTGACGGCCCATAACAACCAGCTCAACTATGGACGGCCCATGAGTTGTTGATTAGCTGACAATGATCTATTTTGGGCCACCTGCTTTGACAAGTTGCTCCACTCCTGCTGCAGAAAATAATGCTGATCTGGGGCGAGGAGGACAAGATCTTCGACATAGAGCTCGCCAAGAAAATGAAAGAGTAAGCACCACTTCTCTCTCATTCAGCACCGGTTTCTCCCTTTTTTTTCAGAGATCAACACGGCGCATGATGACTGAAAGTCTGAAACCTGACGATATCTGTGCGAATCGTGCGTGCATGTGTGCAGGCAGCTGGGCGACGGGTGCTTCCTTCACGGCATCCCCAAGGCCGGCCATCTGCTGCACGTCGAGCGGCCGTGCGCGTACAACCGCCAGCTCCAGAGGTTCCTCTCGTACGTCAACTCGGAGGAGAAGGAGGCAGCCGGTGGTGGCGCCAACTGAACTTTGATCCGTTCCAAGGCGTTACTGGGCTATACATTGGTGGTTTTTGTTGTATAATACTCCTGCTTCTGCTGTTCTTGATGTTTGTTTCTTGAAAGCAAGTGCCAAGTGGTGTTGTGTTGGGGTTGGCCTAGCTGTATGTGGTGGTAGTGAGTAGGACTAGTACTACAAAAGTAAGTAGGCCTCGTGTTGTCTCGTTCGTTCAGTCATTCGTTTGGATTCTTTGCAAACTCCGTGAGATTTATCGTATACGAACACCTGTAATCCGCCATCACGTCATAAGGAAAAAAAATGTACTACATCCCGTACCACGTTGCTGTCGAATAAAATTCAGAGTTCCGGTTTTTTGCAGCACGTACAGGCCGGCGGCGCCCGGTTGGATGGATGGAGCGCTGAGCCATGAAGGATTAGGGGCATCCGATGTTGTTGGTGGTGGCCTAGATCGAGAGAGCCAGAGCCGAACCCGCGCCCGGTCGCGGGGCAAGTTTTCCACCCACATCACCATTTGTACGCTAGCTGTCCCCGTCGCGTCCCGGAGCCCGGCCTGGTGAGGCGCACTTGGCACACATTTCGCCCCGCCGCGCGCGCGCGGAGCATCGTAGTAAGGAGGAGTGTGGTGTGGCCGGCCGGGGGCCGGCCCGACACGTCTCGTGATCCGCATTGCCGAAGGCCGCGTGGTGCCGGAGGGAAACCCAGCAGTTCGTCCTCGATGATGTACCGCGAAAAAAGCAAGTACGCGCGTCCGTCCCGCTCCTCCCGTCCCCGCAGGCCGATCGAGTCAAACGCGCGCACGACGGATGACGCGCACGCGACAGCCTCATCACAGTCGGGGCGCGGGCGCCGCGGCTGGACCACGGGCGCGCGCTGGTGGTGGTGGTGGCCGGTGGCGGAGGAGGCAGGCGTACTACTCATATCTTCATGGCATCATACGACGCCCCTACCACCAAATAAGCACTCCTCGTCGCACACGACGCAAACTCTTTCCGACCCCCTTACCCCAAGACCGATGACCCCATGTGTGCGCGCGTACGCGATCGCGGCGCGCGACGTGATTAATGTAGGCCGCTGGCCCGCTGCTGCGTGAGCCCGGCGTCGTCCGCGTATTGGCCCTCGTGGGTCATGGCATGGGCGGGGTACGCTTCGGCGGGATCGTCGCGTCGCGGGTGCGCAGGAGGCCGGGCGGGGGACCGCGCGCGCGGCGGTGGCACAGCAGCAGGCGCAGGCTGCAGGGGAGAGCGCGTCACGACGCGACCGGGGCATATTTGGGCCGCTCGCGCGCGGGTTAAGCTGGTCGGATTAATTCAAGTGAGACTCTAGCTGTACGAGAGAGAGACGGGGGTACTCGTATCGTACGCTCCATGTCCACAGACAGTCGTGGGAGGCTGGAGCTACAGTTATTGTTATTTTTTTTGAAACTCTACCGTTATTAATTGGAGCGTATCAGTACGTGTGTACACATGCATGCAAGATGTGTATCCTGTGTATGTAGCCATGTACTGTACTTTTCAGTGAGCAGACAGACTGCATTTCTCTGTTCTCTCATGTTTTTGTCACCTAGAATCAGGATCTCGAACATGCCAAACAAACGCTTACAAAAATACACCATATATTCTAAAATGTAAGAGATTTTATGTTTGTTTTAAGTTAAACTATTCTCGAGTTAACCAAATTTATAAAATAAAATGATATACTTATGACATCAAATGAGCATCATTAGATCATTATGAAATATAATTTTTATAGCTTACTTATTTGATGTGATAGATATTAATACTTTTATGTATAAAATTTGATCAAATTTTAAATAGTCTGACTTAGAACAAAACACGGAATCCTTATATTTTAAGATGGGTAGAGTAATTATATTGGTGTAAGTGTAAACTACGAATTGTGTTGTATTCGGTAAGTGTTTTGTTTCCTTAGCTAAGTTAGCAAAACACTTGTATATAGTTAAGTATGCCTTTAATTAGTCAAACAAAACGGCATGACATGAGATAAACACGCTTGATTGTTGACATCAGTAATCCAAGTGCATAGCATGTAGCTATAACATATATAAAAGATGGACAACTAGCGCTTTCAGCTAGCAAGCACCCCTAGAGCATGCTTACTTGGATTACCTTTATTATCAAGATCTTTAGGTGCTGATAGATCAGCATTGCTTTCTTCCTTTCCAAACTAATCACCTAGGATACCTAGCTATTCTTCAAAGCCAAGCATTACTTGTCTGCGCGTCTAGTGTTGAAAAGGGGAAAGCTAAACTACCACACCACACTCCAACAAAGGAGAGGGTGCAATGGCGCAGCTTGCCTTCCAAAATAGGTTCAGCAATGCAATGCTACATGTGCCATGCACAACACATGAGCATGGCCAGAGGGGGTTTAAGTGGTGACCTTCTTTACTGCCGGGTGAGAGACCCTGTTGCCAATTGCTGCCTGTCCTTAATATTCCTCTCCTGCCTCAATTATTTCACCCTGCTTGTACTAGTAATGTGATGAAGAAACTTAGGATGTACTGGCTAGTAGGTTGTTGGTTGGTGAGGGTGCGAGACACTCAGGCTATGTATGCAACATGAGACTGGGCTGTGATGATCCTAATGGTTTTTCAAGGGTGTCTTTTCGACAAAAGGCGCTTTCCAAATTGTTAAGAGACGAAGATGATTATTAGACGACATATGGGGGTAAATAGATAATTACTAGTCAAGATTAATTAAGTAGGACCTTCAAAATTTATGTTTAATTGATATATATGTAATTACAAAAGATAATGGTCAAAGAAACGATGGGTAATATAAATATCCAGAATGACACATATAACGATAGTTGAACTGGTTAGGTTCCTTGTGGTGGAACCGGCTCACTCGGATTCAAATCCTAGATTCGACGTGAGCGCTCGTATTTATGGCTAATTATTCTTTCAGTTATAGGCATCGTACCCGTCGACAGCGAGACGTCCATGGTGACTTCATCAATCTAAAAATATACCGGCTCAGTGTTCTGGAGGGGTAGGGTGTGCGTTCATAGGTTTAACATGAAGTACGTAGTACTCAAGAAGCTGTAGCTTGGAGTATAATATATTTTTTTAAAGACAATGTAGAATTCCATGAAATGCCCATGGAGTTCCAGTAGCTGATCGAAAAGGGGCATTGGAAGAACATATGCTGCAAATCTTCTACAAGTTGGGAAGGACAGAGCACACAACACAGATCACAATTTGGAGGTGTACAATGTTTATGATGAAGCATAAATTTAGTATTTAGCCTATTCATCAGGAGCAGCCAACCAAAAACTTTCACTTTTGAAGTAACTTTACTATTCCAAAGCCATATATATTGTTGGGGAGGTTGCAAAGTGCAAAAAATTAAGGCATAGAATTTCTGAGAACTATATTTCAAGGTTCCCTAAATAAAAGTCCAAATGTCCTTTTCTTGCTCCAAATTAAAATGTTGCAACTGAGCCTGAAGTACCTGGAACTCTTGCAAGGCTTCTTGAGATAAAGGTAAATAGAAATTGTCTTCCAAAGGAGCTGAGAGTGATTGCTTGACAAAAGAATTAGGACTCAGGACAAAGGAAAAGAGCCTAGGCATCATAAATGATAAAGGAGGTCCATCTTGCCATACATCATACCAAAAAGAACAAGAAACTCCATCACCCACATTACATCTAGCAATGCCAGTAAACAAGTTCATCAGGCTGCAAACATATATCCTTCCACCAAAAGGATCCCTTCAGATTTAACAAATGTGGTACTCTGTTACCATAATAAGAAGACCAAATGAGGTTCACCCAAGGTAAGTTTCTCCTATTATTGTATTTGGGATAATGATATCTTAAATAAAAATAACAGTGTCTGTTAATTATACATGAGTCAACCACTTGTAACTTATGTAGCTAGGTGGCGGCCTCTATATCGTCCCGAAAATCATGTGAGATGCACAAAACCATCCCAATTTAAGTTTCTTATGTGTCATTTAATGAAAACTGTTTGTTAGTTTTGTATAAGAATACATCACTCATTTATACCAGCGTTTCCTCAGTTGTTCGCGGTTTATAACATACGGAAATAAGATATTTACACCGACGAAAAGACAATTGCTCATGAGCATTCCTTAATTTTCCTAGACAGTTCGTAAGCCTAAGGCGACTCCAAGTTTCACCATAGGCGGCTGCACATTTTAGCTGCACGTGAAAAATAGCATGATATCTGTATTAATCATTTTTATAGGAGTCTCGATCATGTTCATCTTCTTTATTTTTTCACTATAAAACCACACACCATAATCTCAAATTATCGATACAATTAAACCATACACCATGTGTAGTCATATACTAAGAAAAAAAATATAAACAATCATGTTGAGTCTAAGATTTAAACTCGAGTAGTTAGATTCTATTATTGGCTGGAACTCCAACTAGTTAAGATATATTCTCAATTCGCTTATGACATGTATGATTTCTTCTACGCATATCTTTCCTCTCAAAATATATATGTCATTTCACAACGAATTATCTCCACCGGATTCCTCCGAAACAAAGAAACGAAGATATCAACAGTGTCGATACACAGAGAGAGAGAGAGAGAGACATACCGCCGTATCAACATTCTGTTTGCGTACGTGGGTAGAGCATCCAGTGCACAGATGGCCGTGATATTTTCCTCTGCTGCCTCAGCCGGGCCAACTACTAAAGCAACGTGTTTGATCTACAAGAAGAAGTGAGTTCGTGGATGAGCTATGGCTACCTCAGCTGCTTATCGTATAGAATCGGATTCTCTCACGTCTATTCATCTTTGGATCCGTATGCAAAGACATGCTGCCTTTTATAAGGGAGTATAAATAACTAGTGGAAAAGGATTTAGACGTGGAGAGAATTTTCCTAGAAGCATGTTTGACAAATGAGTACTGGCCGAGATATACACCGTCGCTTTACATGATGAGTTGATCACATGATGTGATTGGTCAATTGAAGAAAAAGAACGAGATAACTTTGAAGTTCACCGGCCTCATTATCTTCTTTTTTCCAACTAACAAAATACTGATACTTTATTATAGGTAAAATACCCATACTTGTTTGAATATATATTATTTACTTGATTCAAACAAATATTAAACTATTTCATAATATCATAAAATATATCATGACTAATTTATAAAACATGTAGAAATCGTGATGGGCTGATGACAGAACCACCACCATCACTATTATCTTTTATAGTATTCTCTCCGTCCCAAAATATAAGAACGTAGGATCGGATTGGATATTTTCTAGTACTACGAATCTAGACATGTAGTCTGTCCAGATTCGTAGCACTAGAAAATGTCTTATCCCATCCTAGATACTTATATTTTGGGACAG